CTAGGTACGTCCCTTTTTTGTCCCGCGGTACAAGGACATGATTGGGACATCCATCCTGCAGTGGTTGTCCAGTGGACATCCCGCCCGGTACATCCCTAGGTTATCCTATTCGTGTCCCTGGAGTATCTGATATTCATTCACATCAGAGTCATTGAATTTCATCAAACTATATTGAGTTGAATTTTTTTGTAAATGTTTGTTTTTCTTCCGGAAAATGATTGTAATGAAAATAAAGAATGAAGTCTCAGAACTTTCCATTTCCATTTTTCGCAGACAGAAATCGTACATGGATAATGCCCTTCATTTTTAAACACCCAAGAATGATAATAATAATACCCAATACCTAACAAAGTTGTATTTAATTAGGTTTCTGTAGTTAAGTCCTGTTTATAAATCTGTTCAGTACATAAATCTTCAGGAGACATGATAGCCAATGGAGCAAGGTGCGTGCATGATGAGCCAAAGGTCCCGGGTTCAATCCCTACTCGACCTACAACTTTTTTCTTTTGTCGAGAGGGTGTCCCTGGGATATCCTTGGGACGTCCTAGGGATATCCTTTCAACGTACTTGGTACATCCCAGGGACGTACCAGAAGTACATCCCTTGGATGCCTTTTTTTGTGGCCAGCGGATGTCCCTGGGACATCCCTAGTATGTACGTTGTCCCGACAAAGGACATCCCTGGGATGTCCTGGTATAAAATCAGGTACGTCCCTGGGAAGTCCCTAGGATGTACTGGTGTTGTTAGGGTGTGTACAATGTGATTGTTCCAAGATTTTTCAATAAATACTTAATATTGGATAAACATGGTGAACAAGAATATTTTTCTTGGAATCATTATCAGATATACTTCGTTTCCTACGATCAAGAATAGGAAGACAAGTTTCGATGAATATGAGACAATAAATGTCTGCGCCCCCCCCCCTCCCCCTGGGTTCTGAAGGGGTTCTTGAGTATTTCCGGAACTTTATGTGATAGAAAGACTCAATTTGGTACAAGAATTGAACTTCCCATGTCTAATGTAGTGAAATATTTTAATTGTCGAATGATATGCATACAAAAAATTGTCAGCAATACTTTAAGTCTTCCCACCCTGTACTGAACACTCCTGAATCGATCTCTGAAATGATTCTATGTTTACCGCATAGAGGGCATGAAAAGTTCAGGTCTTTCACCAAATTGCATAATTTTATCACGTGGCGTTTCGTGAATATCCAAGGAATTTCGACTCATGATCATTGGAAATGTTCTTCTTATTCTTGGTCGTAGAAGCCGCTGGTGAAGTTTGGCAGGCTAATTTCGAGACACCCTGTTTAATGTGAGTCACGGGTGGATGGCTATACACACAGATTTTTTGTGGCGTCCAGGATACCTACATTTTTACATATTCACAATGAACTCAATATCAACTGGAAAGGAGACGGCCGTTCTCTCGAATAGCACAAAGTGTGTCAGGCCGTTGATTGATAAGCGTAAGCGTAATATATCAATCAACGGTCAGGCGCAGCTGAAACAAAGATAGCATGATTTACGGTAACCTGTCTCTTCCCTACTCGTGTTGTTTAATGGTGGATTTGTGTTTACGTTTCCTTTTATCTAATAATTGAAGTAATTTAGATTTTTTTTCTCATCTAAATAGGCAAGCAAGGGAAGACACAAGTTCATTGTCTTTGGTTATGTGAAATATCTATTCATTTGGCGTGTTTTGTTTCATAAAAAGAACTGAATTTGTTGGTGTGAACACTGTGAACTGATTACTGAGAAGGTTTTGATAAAAAATGGTGATTTATTGTGTAGCCTTTGGATGCAAGAACGAGCAATGGGTGAGTTGAATATTGTTCAGATTTTTGAAAAATTTATATAGTTCTTGAAATGATCATCAGTTAGGTGTACAATGTTCCCAGTCTCAGATTATGTTCAAAAACTGTACCTATATTATTTGTCAAAGTTAAATATACTTCCATGACTTTTCCATGAACATATTAAGTGATATTATTTGTTGCAGTTTTATATTCAGACATTCTTGAATTGTGGATTGAGGCAGTTCGTAGAGAGAGTTGGACTCCATGTAAAATCAGCAAGCTTTGTGGAGAGCACTTCCTGCCAACTGATTATTTATTTAGACATACCAGATAAGCCGGGATTGGCGCAGTGGAAGAGCGTCCGTCTCACGACCGCAAGGTCGTGGGTTCGATTTCCAGCACGAGCAAGGAACTTTTTTCAATATTTTATTCACGAATTGAATATTGTAAAGTTTCGGAGCATCGGCTGGGGATAGTCCTGCACGATTCGCTGTTGCGTTCCAATTAACAGTGCTGCTCCTAAAGTGGCGCACGGAGTTAGTAACAAAGCCTACACAGAACACGCAGAAAGATATGATGATGTGGTTGTGAGCGTCAGAGAAGAAGTAGGACAGTGTATGTAGGTGGGTGTGGAAAAACTACCAGCTGAGCGTGAGAGCGGGCCAGCTGCTTAAGTAGACCTCGGTCTCGGGGGTTAACGATGATAGTTAGCAGGCCTGCCACTGCGCATATGGTAGTGAGTACATTACTAGCCTACAAAACACAGCTGAAAAACTCTGAAAAAGAGAGCTGATGGGCGGTGCCTGAAAAGGATGTTAGCCAGCTCTCTTGAGCGAACCACATCAGTCATTGAAAACACTTGGCAAAAAGGTTCCATTGGGGACTAGTTGCTGACGTGGAAACGTCCCCCACCAGTACCAGTACCAGTAGACATACCAGATACTGCTGGGTTATTGTAACCAAAAAATGCTGATCCTTGAAGGAAAATGAGAAAACTCATAGGTACAGTACGTCGTATTCAATAAAAGAGCGTACACGTATTAAGAAGTGAGGATTTCGGGATCCTTGTTCTAGTTGTGTAAAACTGGCTCAGCCAATGCTTTGTGTTTCCGAGAACCTATGACAACTCTACTGTCAATACTTGGTGAACAATTAATCCCGATAGCCCGTTTTATGCAGAATAGGATGATGTTAATTTCTCTCTGTAATATACTTGTACCCTTTTTTTTAATGCGACTGTACCTAATTGATTAATAATGAGAAAACATCATGTTTGCACTTTTTCAAAATGAAAAACTAGCTAGTAATTTATTATCAGGATGCATCTGTGGACATTCATAATTTGGGTCCTAAGGAAGATGTTTCTCATCTTATAGACTTTGATTTGCCTACGACTTCCAGCACCCAAGTTTCGAAGTTCATCAATGAAGAAACTCAAACTGTTCCATTTGAGAAGGATATTGTATTGGGAATTGCAGTTTCTCAATTTCTAATAGGGATATGTTTGTAGGCAGTGACCTAATGGAAAAATAGGAACCTATGGAAATTCTGCTCAAAATGGACCTCAGGTACTGAATACCATTCAAGAACCTCTTTAAAAATTTTTTCTATCGTTTTTCTTTTTCTTCTGATAGTGCTGAGACATTGTGCTTCGCTCACCCTGTACAATATGATGTGACATTTGGATAAAAATATATAATTTCAATTCTGTATTCATTTGACTTCCTAATCCTGTGAGAATGAAAATGAAATTCAATTTTCCAGTAAATAAAAAAATCAATAATAATGTTTTAATGATAAATGATTGCAACATTTTCTATTTTCCTACATGGATATTTTCATTTAATCACGATAAGAGCAAAAATCGAGAACATATTTCAAATAATGGGAGCGCTTCGCATTAGCCAACATAATATAGAAAGAGATAATATGTATCCGTAAACACTGCGGGTTGTCGATATTTCGATAATTTAAACGTTGGAACAACCGTAAATTGTTCGTTTCGAATGTCCAAAGTTCAACTAACAATCTTTTTCATGAATTGAGTAGATCATGAAACAGTGAGGAAAAACTTTTCCATACCTCTCAAATTGATATTTCATACTCATGACTCGAAATTTCTTCTGAAAGGGTATAATGTGTGCTACTTCAAACTCTAGTTCTTTCAACAATTTGAAGTTTGTGAGTCATTTTTGGTAATTATTTAGGTGATTATGTAGGTATTCCATTCCAGATGATGTTTTTCAAAATTTCATGCTCATTTTCTGATAATTCTAATCCTTATATATTATATCAGAATCAATCATAATATGTACTTTCAATTGATATCTCTGTTCATCGCAAAATGAGAACAGATCACATACGTATTAATAAACAATACGAATCATAACGGGTGCCAGGATGAAGCCAAAAATATGAAACAAATGAATATCCATAAGGATTTGGTGGCATGATACGCATGCGCCATGCGCTATTATAGTAGTCATCAAAGACATGCGTTTCGGTGGACAATGACGTTTACTAGCCTTTCAATCAAAGCAGTATGTGTCTGATCGTTTCAAAACTTTTCCTTATGGATAGTCATTTGTCTCCAAAAATCGGCTTCATGTTTCGCTATGGAAACAGATAGAGATTATCCGTATTGATTATTAATACGTATATGGAACAGATATGGTGATTAAAATATAATAAAAACTCTCCAAGTCGTCTCCACAACGTCTAATTCCGAATTCGAGAAGGAGAGACATGTTTCGGACCCAAAAGGTATCCATCATCAGCCAGAAAGAAATTATTTTACAAAGAACAACGAAACAGTAAGTAGGTATATCAACTTGAACAAATTGGTACTCACGTGGTCAAGAAAAAAGCAAAACCATGGTCATAATGAGCATGGTTGAATGGTTTAAATGACCATGTTGTCGCTGTTCTTTTCTTCACGTGAGTACCAATTTGTTTCACTCGATATACCTACTAACTGTTTCGTTGCTCTTTGTTGTGGAGAGTTTTTATTATATTTCAACTACCCCACTCGACTTTGAGATAACATAGACTTCTACAGTAGATTGAGATATAGTGATTAAATCAATTAGTTCAGGGGGTTTTCATGTTTGCCCTCATCTGACGTCATCAGAAGATGAAAAAATATCAAGAGGCCGGTTTTGCTGTAACCCTGGATGAAACATTGTGATAAACAATAGATTTACTCACCGATCGTTGTGAGCACAGTCAGAGAGTAGAGGAAAGCTTTCGCGAAACTCCATTCGTAGGGATCTGGATGGTGCTTTTCTCGATGGTTAGCCACTTGAAGGGGTTGTTGCAGCGCCATCTCCTCTGCCATTGTTTTCAGGATCTCCTCTTGGAATCTTGTGATCTCCTCTGCTGCTAGTCGGGTCCAATTGTCTCTGTGAATAATCAATGTCAAATCTCTGGAATTTTTATATTTGGAGTTTCAGTTGCAACATCGTGTTTTTTAAATTGACATCAACAAGCACCTCCAGAGACGTTGAATGCTAATGAGAAGATGCTATTATTTTGACAGAAACCTGTTGAAGAATTTGGTATTCATATACTGTCACCTTCTCGATAGAATGAAGACACGATGTTCTTCGGACATTATGACAATTTTTTTTGTTCGCTTCATGAGATGTAAAAAAAATCTTTCAAACAGTTATGCATAACGAATGGGGGCAGTTCTACGAAATGTTGGAGAGGGGAACCGCAAGGCTCTTTCTTTAGTAAAATCTTGCTCTATTGAAAATATTCAAATTGAAGTTGAGTGTATGCGGTTCTTTTTAGAAGTAATTTTAGGTATATTTTTCAAAACATTGTGAAGTAACTTGGTTTCCTCTCACGAATTGGGTTAGCAGAATATTCTTCTGTCATTATCAAATGTTGGAGCATGTAGTTTCTTGAAGAATTAGAAAAAAAATGATGCAGTGGAGCCCAAGAGATTATGTCTCGTTTGAAGAATGATAATATACTCATCTGAAAGTGTTTAAACTTCATTCTTTGGAGCAATTGCTGTGGAGGACGATACGGCAACTCGGAAATGGTGTTCATGATGATTCTAGAAAAGTCGTTACATTTGGAAAGTATCAGGTTGAGGTTTTTGATTTCTGGTCATAGTTTTCCGGGGATGTTGGTTATGCAATCAATAATCATGATAAGATATATTCCTCACAAGATTATAGTTATATTAGGCAAACATGTGGAAGAAAACAAGCATTGATATAAATAAAACGGAGAAATGTGATGTTATAGCATTATAGAGAAAGTTATTCGGACTAGATGGTTCATCTTAGTTTTTATACAGCACCACGATACTGATACCGCTGTTACATCTGTTATTTTTTCAGGATTGTTTTGTTGTTTGAGTAGTGACCGAGCTCGAGAACATTCTTCTGTTGAATATTGTTTTTTTTTTATATCAACGATGATTTGGTTCTCGAACTGCATCAGATATGTTGGAAATTCCATCAAGCATTCATCCATGGATATTCAAATTGTGTTCTGTTAGTGAATGTCGGATATGTTCGTGAGAATGAATATCACAAGAAATAATTAATAGCTATTTATATATCAAGGGAGCAAAGATATCCATTTCCTTCTGCGTGTGGAGATTGATGGCCAACGCGTAGCGGAGGGCATCAAACACACATGGGAGGAAATGAACCTTTGCTCCCAAGATATTTATATGATTTTATCCACAACCGCATATATTCGAGAAAGTCGTTCTCAAAATTGTGCTTCAGGCTATTTCTCGAGGGTCGATCCAAATTCCAAATCAATTCGTTACAAAGGTACAAAGGTGTAGTATGCCATGGAAAATGATTGACAGTATTTGTATCTGAACAAAAATCAATTTGACACTTCTGTCACGTTGAATTTGTTCATTGTATAATTGCATTTGGGAGTTTTGATAAATTAAGTTCGGAATATGAGGAGGTGTATTAGATCATTGAAATTCAAGAGGAAATTATGTTATGTCTTATAGTAGTGATAGAGACACTGATTAGGTAGTTGGACAGCACAGAGAGCATGCTGAAGCCAATTTATTTTACCTCTCACAGGAGGCAATACTCCACCCCTCCGTGGGAGTGAAATGACACGTTTTCGTCCTGAAATGGGGAAGCAAACGCCTACTTCTGATGCAGTGAGTAGATAAAAGACATTTCTCCATTTCCTCGATACAATAAAACAGTTCGTTGGTTCTCTGTTCCATGAGGAGTCCAATTGGAATTGAAAGGATAGTACTCACCTGTACAAAATATTCAGACTAACAGTGATATCCCATATATTCTCAACGGTTTTTGCTCGAGCCTCGTCAGTTCTTGCCTTCATGTCGACGCTCTGGTTGCTCTGGTTGCTTTGGTTGGTATGCTTCTTGTGGTTGTTGATATTCGTGGAGAGTGAAGTCGTTGCTAGGATTTGGTGCTGATAGCTGCTGCCTCCTTCGATGGCCAGGAATATCACTGAGCCTATCAACGTGTATCCGAAGAGCAAGACACAGATTCCTGTAATGATCAAGTAAAAGGAAAAAATCAACAAGGAATGTGATAGTTTTGAGGAAACGATACACGCATTTGGGTTCAAAGACAGGTGTGGTCGGCTTATTCTCTACTCATAAGTCTGTTCGTTATTAACTTGATCGTATATTAGATCCGGAGCCGGAGTAAGGTCAACCGTCACCCATCTGGTTAATGGATGGACATTATTTTATGAGAAATTCAGAATTTCAAAGATTATAAAAAGAAAGAGTGGCGTGAAAATATCTTGGCCAGGCCATGAATGATTGAAAATTGATAAATCACTTCTCTTCATTTATATCGATGAGTTGATTGAAATTTTTTTACACTCACCATATGTACAAGAGCATAATTATAGAATATGCGAAAATAGGGTTGCCCATATGTTATCCAGATCTAACTATTGGGTTGCCAGCTATGAACAGGTATCTCGCTGCTAGTTATTCTCACCTACTCGTTCAATCTATGAATTGAACATAAAAATAACTTAACCTGGCAAACTAGGTCAACTTTATCACGAAATTACGGTAACTTCATTATGACGTCACGGTTTACTTGTGGAGCTAGACAGATGTCACTATATCAGCTGGTGGTACTTATTTATTGGTACTTTTCCTGTTTGGTTTTGGTAGCTATCATATTTTGAATAAGAAATTCATACTTCCTAGAAATCCATAGTTATTTCATTAAATAGGGTATTTATTCGATATTTCATGAATTATATCCTCAGAATATAACAAAAACAACAACAAGAGTAAGATGCAGGGTATAACATGAAGTTGTAGTCATGTTGTAGCCATCTTGTGACAAAGCTCTGAGGTAGGATACAGATATCGCGACACACAGTGTATGGCGCTGCCATCTATAGTCACACGTACAGACCCCTATATTTTGTTTCCTTTTCACTTGCATGTTTTGAACAGTAGTATGTTTGATATTTCTAAGCTTCCTATATATGAAATTTTTGTTTGCAGTTTCGTAAATTACACAAAGAAGTTTCCAATTTGGCAAAAACCGCAAATCTCTATCTTCGAAAATTAGTGAGATATTTCGTGGGGACATCGAGAATGGGACAGTCTGTACACTCCCGGAAATCTCATTGTTTGTTTTTCAAATATTCACTATGGTTCTCCATCGATTAGGCCGAGTCGTTTAAAAAAATCATGAAATAAAGGTCAATGTAATCTAATTTTCAGGAACGATTCGAGAAAACATTTCAATTCTCTGTCATATAATTATTATGAATGACTGTTGAAGGACCTCGGTCGATGGCCATTTGGTTTAATCAAAAAATGATTTCAAATCTTCACATCTGATGCGCCTTCGCCATTAGCTTCATTGATTATAGATTTTGGTGGCAGCACCTATTCTTTCATACCATCTTTATAACAAGCCATGGCGACAGTATTGGCAACAGTAACAGAGTCTGGAAGTCTCTCGCTGACCATAACTATTGATAGGAGTGAATTTGTTCAGTTTTCAGAAGTGAATTGATTTGTTACTGATGTGACGAATTGTTGAAAGTCGGTAAACAATGTGAGATGTTCTAGTTATGAGTAGGTATGTTTACGAAGTCAACCAAAACTTGTCCAATCATTGTTTTGTGATAGGGCTCAAGTCGAATGAAGCTTCAACTGAGAATTACTCGTTGGAAAGTCTCAAGATAGAAAGTTAAACACATTCTCACAATAGTTTGGATTGCAGTCAGATGGCCTGTTATATCCTAATGCATTGAATATAACTTGGCTAGCTGTAATATTGAATGAGATGCATTAGCCTCCACTTGGTAATTTACTAGGTGCAAATGAGTTTTGATTAAATGATTTGAAATGAATTTTTCTTCATGATATGAAATTGAATAGGTGGTCACAACTTGGAAATATTCTAACAAATTTCAAAGACAGTTCAGATCATACCGACAATCAGACCAAATACCATAAAGCTTTTTTCATAAAGGGATAATGTGTCTATATTTCAGGTATACAGAATTATATAATGATTGCATTTTATTGCAAGTGGTGAAAAAAATCAATACACACCTTGATAGTAACATTTCATGAAAACGAGGAGAGAAAATCGCAAAAAATCTGGAATAATGAACTACTACTTTCGAATTCCCCTTTCTTCATCTAACTAACTGCACAGAAATTCTCAACTAGTATCACAACCATCTCTATAATAAGTCGTGGTGAGATAGTGGCGATACCGTATTTTCTCAATCCAAATATCCCTCTCTGAACTGGCAACGTAGGTGAATATTCAAAAATCAACATCAGACAGAATCATTGTTTCCACTCCAGGTTTTGGTAGAATTATCCATATCCGAAACAAACCCAATCAGATTCGGTATCTATCAATTTATCAAATGAACAAACTTTATGTTATTTGGTCTGATTGTCGGTATGAACTGAACTGACCTGACCACCTATTCAATTTCATATCATGAAGAAGAATCTATTTCAAATCATTGAATCAAAACTAATTCGCACCTAGTAAATTACCAAGTGGAATTCGGAGTTGATGCATCTCATTCAATATTTCAACTTGCTGAGTTATAATCAATGAGTTAGGATATAACACGGCATCTGACGGCAATCCTAAATATTGTGAAAATTTGTTCAACTATCTATCTTATAAGACTTTTTGATGAGCAATTCTCAGTTGAAGCTTCATTTGAGTTGAGCCCTATATCACAAAACAATGATTGGACAAGTTTTAGTTGATTTCATATACAGACTTACTCAAAACCTGAACATGATAATTTCTCACATTGTTTACCGGCTTCCAACAATACAGTAACGAATCAATTCACTTCGGAAAACTGAACAAATTTACTGCTATCAATAATTATGGTCAGTGAGAGTCTTTCATTTCAGACACTGTTACTGTTGCCAATACTGTCGCCATGGCTTGTTAAAAAGATGGTGTGAAATAACAGGTGCTGCCACCAGAATTTATAATCAAATGAAGCTAATGGCGAAGGCGCATTAGATGTGACGATTGGACATCATTTTTTGGTTTTACCAAATGGCCATCGACCGAGGTCCTTAAACAATCATGATAATTATATTATGACAGAGAATTGAAATATTCTTGCAAATCGTTCTAGAAGATATTGAACTTCATTTCATAATTTTTTCAAACGACTCGGCCTAATTGATGGAGAATCATAGTGAGTATTTGAAAAACAAACAATGAGATTTTCAGTAGTGTACAGACTGTCCCATTCTCGATGTTCTCACGAGATATCTCACTTAGTTTTGAAGAAAGAGATATGCGTTTTTGCGAAATTGGCTACTTTTTGTGTCATTCAAGATACTGAAAACAAAAATTTCATATATAGGAAGCTTTATTTTCGAAATATGAAATGTGGCATGTTGCTCTATCTCAGAGATATTTCAACTGATTGGGAAAGTTGATACTGGCTGCTATGACTTCTTCCATATGGTGGACTAAGTGACGTAGTAAGATGATCCAAATAAGATAATTTATATATAACCCAAAGTTATGATTTCTCAATGGAACACCCTGTATATTTTCTCATATTCAAAACATCGATGCTCATCTTTGCTTTCCAGGAATATATAAAACTTGAACGATATCTTGAGTTTTAGGCAGTAGATTTTTCAGTAATGAGGCATGTGAATATCATACTCACGACCTTGTTGCTGATATAGTGTTTTATCACACTCCAGTTCCAATTTCAGCAATATTCAGCACTATTTCCTGACTATAAGAACTATTTACCTTATTATCAGGTGGCTTCATAGAAAGAGCAGATCGTTTGATAATTCTTGTCAACTACCTGTAGAATACACAAATTCTTCAAACAAAGCGAATAATGATCCCATTTCTAGTAGTTTTGATATCCTGAAATATTATTCTACGTTGTTTCAAATATTTATAACTCCAACAGGTAGCTGACAAGGATTATAATATATTCTGCATTCTCTTTCCACCTATACTCAGATAACATGAGGACATTCTGTGTACGTCTATAGAATGTACATCTGAGACCTACAAGACGTCCTGAAGACGTCTAGTATCGGTCGAGAGACGGCCATGGAACGATCCAGGGACGTCCATAGAATGCACAAGTTTGTATTTGATCGCCATGAATACCATGATCAACGTAGATCCGCCTTTTCTCACTCAGATAGATGGAAAAGAAATCAATACAATGTAAGGAAAATTCTTATTTTGAATACAAAATGGAATAAAATCAATTCTTACCAGGAATCTTTATATGATCTAACCATTACTCTACACAATTCATTAAAATATTCGACTCACCACTGTTCAAAACATGCGAGTAAGAAGAAAGAAAACATGATATTCATTGAGTGCAGACACCCTCCACCAAATGGAATTTGCTATGAATCAGATATAGGACAGGACGTAGAATGTGCATATAAAATCTTTATATCCTTCGGAATCGGCATTCTCTAAAGATAGGATATACATTATTCAGGATGATAATAATAATAATCGAGATTGTGGTTCATGAATATAATGAATAGTTTCTCTCGTTCAGTTTCTTTAGTCTTTAGCAAATAACTAGAGAACCGTTAATTCAACGACAGAGGAATTAATTGAGTGCACTGTTGAAAATCAGTTGCCACTCTCAACAACTTCGTTCATTATCGAGAATATTCGGATGAATACATCAACATTTTTTTGTTATTTCTGCTACTATTACTCTCCATCTTTCCAGATGGTCTGGTTTCTGTTATTTTGAATACCTACACTCTTTGAAATAACCAATTTTCCATTTCTTTTCCAGGACGAGTCCTTTGTTTGCTAGATGTGCAAGAGGACATCAAATATTGAAGACAAAAGATTCAGTAGTATATGCGCGCTGTAGGGGCAGAGAAAAACAGTTACTCTCCGAGGCTATAGATGTTGGCAGGATAAAGTGTTACTACTTACTAGTATATTCTGATTCAATATTTTCTCTTCCATTTACAGGACATGTTTTGTGTATTTTCATATATTCATATACATATGATAAGGGGAAGTTTCCGTGACTGTTCTATAGATTATATTATTGGGAATATTCGTGGGCAGCAGTAGGATGTGACCAATATTAGTTAGATTTCTTCGTTTTTTGTCGCGCTATCGAAAATGATTATTCCCACGGATATTACCAATTCTTATACATATGTATATTCCTCCCAAGATACAAGAAACATGCTAGATGAGGCGGCCGACATCAAAGTCGAAAGTGTTGTATGTCAACTGTTTGGGGAGAGAAAATGATTTATATGCTGAGGAAATGATAGTTATTCATTATAGAAGGGGAAAAGTAGTAGATTTTAGCACCAGGTTGTGATGTGAAAAAGCGGAAGACAATAAACTGTGAGGTGATATCTAATATTTGTCTCGTGTATAATACACTATTTTTTTTGTGACAAAGAGAAGTACGATTCAATATTGAAAAGATATTACATTATATTGAAATCAGAAAATTGCCGACGTGGAATTCCATGTTTTGAACAGTAATGACACCTCATTCTGTGATTCGATTTTCGAAAATGTCGAGTTCATTGGTGGTTTGCCAATATAGGTAACTGCGAAGTCGGATGGAAGATATAAAGACCTGCCCAATGAGCATAGTAAGGTTGAAAAAACGTTGCTTTATGGTTTGAAACCGAACGTTCATATGGGGTATTTCTCAACGAAAAAATGTTGCACGATGTAACGTTTTTCTCAACCAAATTACCTACTAGTAATGAACGTATTCTGAGAACGTTTTCCGAACATGAGTATCAACGTGACATAAACGTTATGTTTCGACGTTTCATAATTGTCGATAATGAAGGTTTATTCAACGTCTAAATGGCGTTCAAAAATTACGATTTGAACAAATTGATAAAATAAGAATTTTCAACGTTTACTTCGGATCAATTTTCAATCGTAGAATTTTCGGTTTTTCGGACGTTACTCAAACGTTCAAGCTAGATTACTTTTCGTTATTTTTGTGTCCACAATGACTTTATTATCATTCTCATAATCATTGCAATTAATATTATTATAACTCAATAACCTGATATGTGTCCATGTATTTCCTTTCCGTTTCACTTCCTTCTTAGTGACGTACCTATCTCCACGTCTCCCTATTAAAATTTGCTCGACTACTCGTATTTGTACCTGAACTCTTGGTGTGAGCGTCGGCGAAATGTAAACGGAATGAATACACGTTGTCTAATGACGTTGTTAGAAAACATATACTACACGCTTGTTTTTCTACCAACCGTTATCATTTACTTTCAAAAAAAAGTTTAAGTAAGGTTCATTTCAAGAGTTCAATAAACATTTTGGATAAACGTTCACCGTGAGGACTTTGGTGATTCGATTGAAAGTAGTTTTGTATCCATGTAAAACACTTTTTTTTGAATGACAAATGATATGGATTATAGTTCAACGACAACTTATACTACACGTTGACGAATAACACTTGAAAAACGTTGTTGAAAAACGTTTCATTCACGTTCTTCTTCCACTCTCGGTTTGTCATATTGAAAACAAGTGTTCGATCATAACCCATGAAATGAAAAAATCGTGAACGAACCTTGACTTTTTATAAAAGGTGTTGGAAATTTGAAAAATTCGAAACTTCAACGCTCTGTATATTGAAAACAAAGCGTTTTATTTTGACATGAAGAATTCGCTGAAATCTTGTAACCGATGAGTTTTGAAACACCCTGTGAAGTCTCCATACAATGGTCCCATCAAATTCACGCCACCATCAGAAATGAGGTCAACTATGAATTCAAAACCAGGATTCTTGAGCATGTATACTTGACGAAGAATTCGAGGTTGAGTCATCGAAACTGAATCATTCATTCAGAAAGAAATCAAGATCAAAGTTGTGATAATGTCATGGTGGTAATTACTTTTGCTGATAAATTCATAATTGGAAATGTAGAATTAATTTCTCACACTCTCCTGGATTTGTTTCAAATCAACATCTCTACTAGGTAATTCTCAAATAATTGTACATATAAGTATGAACAATATAGTAAGGAATATTTTGGGGATGGTAAGAAATAAAATTTGTTTTGAAATCCATATGTATTCTCTAGAGAAAGCATCCAAGTTTTATCGTCTCCGAATTGGAGCTATTCTTACTGATGGATATGGTAGACCCGTTATTCTAAAAAAAAGGAACCTACCTATTATCAACCTCAAAACTTTCAATAAATCGAGATAACTGCAAGCCGCAGAAATCAGCTGATCAATATTTCTAATTTATTTATAATAAGCGTCTCTTAAAGTGAAGCATAAAGATATTGACGTAGTTGGCGAATATCAGGCATAGTGCTGACAGCTGTTCATCAATCATGACATATATCACAGAAGTGATAGGTTGTATGTGTACTATATTATTTTTTGTTTGAAATGGTTCTAATGTAGACAAATTATGATTCTTCTCCTTATAAAAACCCCTTGTTTCGGATTTTTTTATGTATCTATATCCAGAAACGTCGAGAATAGTAAATTCCTAACAAGTGGGGAAAGTGATATTTTTCCGCACGGAAAAGTCACTGTCTTGAATTCGATTTGCTAGCTAAATTTTCAACTGAGATAATATAACGAATCGATTTCCATTGTAAGCTCACTTGTGTTCTTCATTAGTTCATTAGTTGGTGAGTATTTTGTCATGAAGTAATGTTATCATTACTTTGAAAGCAAAGCTTATGTGCGTTTTTCACTAAACCTCACCTAAGTTGGTGGCCAGTCCTGCTAAAAAGGCTTTACTTCTTCTTTTCGTTCTCTTGCCGAAGCAGCAACAGCATTTCGCTTCTTTAGTCTTCTTGCTAGGGTCACCATTCAGCGAACTTGTGTTCTGTTTGGAGACAGTAGGGTAGGGGTCATAACAAAAATGGCCCGTATCTTTTTCCATGATGCTGTTCACGAGTCCATTTTCTCTTTGAGACGAAATCGTATCATCGTATTTCCTTCAGACAGCTGGATGTTACCTTGGTCAATGGAGCATCGATTTCATGTCATCCATACTTGGTGAATATCAATGATAGTGCTTGGCAGATCTGTAATGGAAATAAAAACATAATTAGTGAAATGTTAGTGCTATTAATTTTGTAGAAGTGTGAGATCTTGCGCAGAATCATGCGGTATAGAATGTGACAAATAGGAAGGAATCATGGTTGTGAACACTTTAGTTTTGCTCTCGGGTTTGTACAGAGTAGTCTTTTTATATATACGAGGTGGAACAAAATTTCGAATTTAGCAGTTGCAACGTTCTCATCACCGTCTGTCGGCAGATGCGAATCGCAGAATCCAAATCAGTTGCTTTTGAGTGTAATTTTCTTCTGTTTAGAAATATATACAGAGTGTGTGATTTCATCTTGCAACTCCTTCCTAATTTGGAACACGTCGAGTGATTTCCATAAACAAAGATTCCAAGCTATTTTCAGATATTCAAGGCCTACTCTCGTTAGTTGAATGAGTGGAAGTTTTAAGAAAGACTAAAAGACAATTTATTTCAAAACAGTTCGATCAAGACATAGCTGGAATACTTCAAATTTGAACGCGATATCCAATATTCGATGAAAAACGTTGGGGCTTTTTATTTTCTGATTCTTCCTTTATAAAAATCTAATGAGTTGATATAATCGTAATACATAATAATGTTGCTATTCAATGTATTTCTACAGAAATATCCATCTGTGCCAACCTCAAATAATGTAATTGAAGTTGAAATAGTATACACCTAGGGTGAGAAGTCATCAGCTATTTATTATATATAGCAAGCACCTTCATATGTTTTTTATATAATAGCAATCTTACTCATGGTGAATATAATTTTTTTCTCTCTACTAGCTCCATTTCAAGGCGTGGAGTGTGTTTTCACTACCAAGGTGAAGTTTTCGTCATTTTATGAACCACAAGTCGATGAATACATAGCCACCTCTGATATAATCAACCCGAATTCACTGTTCTCATGCAAGATTCGCACGAATAGTACTCGATTCTAGTAGGTATTCATCAATATCAACTTGTCATATGCTGTCATGGACATGGCTGCTAGATTTCAATCAAAATTGGAAAAGAGTGTGCTCTCATAGTGGCAATAGGTCCACTGGAACTAGTTAACCAATTTGAATATCTTGGGGTTTATGTAGATAGGGGGTTACATTTTAAAGAACATGCCAACTTCATAATAAGGACGATAGCATTTAAATTACATTATTTATCTCGTTGTGCCCCAAAATATCCCCAACATATCTGCAAGAAAAAGTTAGGTACAATAACCAAATCCACGGATACAATACAAGATTCAGAACTGACTTCCATATTCACCAAGTAACATTAACACATACCCAAAATTCAGTTTTTTTCAAGGGACTTGATAGCTATAATAATCTGCCAGGAGATATCAAACGTTTAACATTTATTTATTCATTTAACATTCATCGATTTATTTATTTATTAACGGGTGAACCCAGTGTATAAAAAAACATGAATATATATAGCCTATACAACATATCACAGAACATTGATTGATTTATACATATCTACACTTTAAATACAATGAACATTGAAAATAAAAACATTACATTATTGCAAGAATGCGTTTGGCTCTTTCAGTGCCAGTGTTAAAAATGTCCCAGTTCACTCTGTTACTCAGCGTCATCATCCTGATTATGTTTGCATAAATAGTTTTATGAGTTTCTAAATTGAAAGTGCTGCTATAACGTAATCGTTTTTGAGGAAGATGAAATTTTAGGGAGGCCAATAATTCAGGACAATCAATCTGATTATTACATAATTTTTGAATAGTGATGATGTCATTGTTGCTTCTACGCTCTTCTAGGCTTTTTATGTTTGGGCGATTTAAAATATTGTCATAATCAAATTCCTCCATAGGAATACCGAGCTTGAAACCAATATAACGCAATAAACGTTTCTGAACTCTTTCTATTTTCATGATATGAGCTTGGAAGGCAGGACACCACACAGAGCTGCTATTTTCAAGTTGAGAGCGTACCAATGAAAAGTTGAGGGATTTCAATGCGACAATATTATGAAAGTCCTTTGTTGATCGTTTGATGAACCCTAGCATCTTCAAAGCTTTGTTACAGATAAATTCGATATGAGGAATAAAGCTAAGTTTAGAATCAAAAAGTATACCAAGATCTTTCATAATGTCTACCTTTTCAATGACTACATCATTTAAGGAGTACTCATCATTGTTATTTATGCTGTGATTTTTGCTGAAACGTATATATTTACATTTTGGAATATTAAGAACTAGTTTTTTCTTGTGGCACCACACAGAGAACCTGCCCAAGTCCTCTTGAAGATGAGTTGAGGAGGAGGGTCTCTCCAATTTGAGATATATTTTCTCATCGTCAGCATATAATAATATTGAACTGAATTTAAAGCAAGCAGATACATCATTAACAAATAGATTGAACAGTAAGGGTGCTAAATGAGCACCTTGAGGAACTCCAGAAGTGATTAAAATTTCATCTGACAAGGAGGAATTAATCTTAACTCTTTGCCTGCGATTATCTAGATAGGATTTTAGCCATGCCAACAAACTGCCTCCAAGGTATTTGGACAACTCAAAAAAAAGCAAATTATGATCTACCTTGTCAAATGCCTTGGAGAAATCTGTGTAAACTGCATCAACACTTAATCCCTTCTCCAAGGCATCGACAATGTAGGTCTCATAGAGTGAAAGATTTGTAGTGATAGATCTTTCTTGGCAGAAACCATGTTGTGTTGAGCTGATGATATTTTTGAATTCAAACTTCAGAAAATCATTTACAATAGAATCAAATGCTTTGGGTATGAGCGATATCTTTGTGATTGGGCGATAATTTAATACAGAGTCTTTTCTTCCTGACTTCTTGTAAATTGGCACAACATAAGAGTTTTTCCAAAAATCTGGGAAAGTACCGGATTGAAGAGAATTATTAAAAATAATCCAGAGTGGACGGGACATGCACAAGATTTCATGAAGATTGCTCGTATAGTATCAGGGCCAGCCCCTTTAGAGCAATCAATGCTCTGAAGTTTTTCTAGAATGTCAGAAATATTTATAAATATTTTATTGATGCTGATGGAATCGAATTCACTGTCTGATCTAGGATCAATAGAGGTATTGTCACTGAAATATACCGAAGAGAAATGTTTAGCAAAAAGATTTGCAATTGAATTGCCATCAGTTGCAACCTCATCATTAAAGAATATCGTATTGGGAATACCATCCTCCAGATTTTCGGAGCGAATATAATTCCAGAATAATTTGGGATCAGAGATAATTCCGTTTTGAACTTCAGAAATATAGGTATTGTAGCATGATGATGATTGTTCTTTGCATAATGATCTTAAATGAGAAAAAATGTTGTAATCCTCCATTGAGTTGGTGCGCTTATAATGTTTATGAGATTTTTTTTCAGTATAGTATTATTTTTCAGTTCTTCACCAAACCAAATAGGAAATCTAAATTTGCCTTCCAGACTGATCACAGGTGTGAATCTGTCAATTCCTCTAAATAAGATATCATAAAAAAGTTTGACAGCATTGTTAACATCAGTGGCAAGGATTTCATCCCAATTGATGTCAAGAAGGAATTGGTTCATAGCTCGGAAGTTGCAGTTCTTGAAATCATATGAGAACTCTTCAAAGTCCAGTGTTTCAATTGGTGTATGACATTTGATGTTTATACTTAAAGCAGAATGATGACGATCAAGTTTCAAAAGAACATCACTAGCAATATTGACTATAACATTAGGATTGCTTGAAAGAACTAGGTCTAGTATCACATTATTATTGTTGCTTATTGAATTCAGTTGATAAAAGTTCAGATAGGAAAAAGTCTCAATGAAATACCCAGCTGTGGAACTGTGTCCATGGGCACTGATTCCAAGATGGTCATTATTCTATTGAATGTTGGGTAAATTGTAGTCTCCCACAATGCAAACAGTTGAACATTCAAAAATGTTTGCCATGAACTCTGTGGCTTCACAATGTAGTTGATAGACCAGTTTATTTGATTGAGGGGAAATGTATACAGCTCCAAGTAATAAATTCTTGTCCTGTAGTTTGACAGACACCCACAACTCTTCAAATTTCACCTCATCAGCTGAATGTTTGTAATCAACAGGATTTGATATGAGAGAGTTTCGCACTGCAATCAGAACTCCTTCACCTCTGACTTTGGTGGTAGAAAGCAAATCACGATCTTGTCTACACAGGTTGTGGCCGTTAGAGCCAAGTTCTGCACTATGGATATCTTGATTGAGTGAGGTTTCCGTTAGAACTATCAAGTCATACTCGAACGCAGACAGATTTTTTATAAGGTCAACTATTTTAGTACGTAGGCCATTAACATTCTGGTAGTACATGGACAGATTTCCATTATATCGTTGGCTATGACAATTCAATGAAAATTTCTATTCACATTGTGATTTTCACGTACCTCAGTCGAGACTTCATTGCTTTCTTGGTCCCAGGATTGCTGGGCGGTGGCTGGAGACTTTTTTCAAAAGTTGAATCTCCTGAATACTGTACCATAAGGCCAGAAGCTAGTAGAGTTCAATTGTTCATAATATTGGTGATCGACCCCCACCTTGAAAGAGCTGTAGGATCCAGTAGTGTGCAATTGTTCTATCTCAAGTTCATTATCGTTGGAGATTGTAGCTTTGGTTTTGATGAAGTTCTTTGTTACATCAGCCTTAACTTCTTTTTTCACTCTTCCTATATACAGCCACATTTCAGAAGGAGCTGCCTGGAAGGGCTCCTCTTCAGGGAGCACAGCTGTGCCTCTTTGGACTCTTCTATTATTTGACCTACGAGTTACCACCCTGAAAGGTTCTTCACTATGGTTGATAACAGTAACCATTGCTTCATTGATGGCATCGCTGACTTGAG